ACTCGCTCTTCTTCGTAGTCACGATTGTTGTTCAAAGTGTAAACACAGACTGATCGTGTTAGCTGACAATGAGAAAGAGATTCATAACAGCAGGTTCTGTTTATCATTATGTTCCTAGAACCGAATTTGTCACGTACCAAAGCGAGTAACACATGTCCTTAAAGCAAAACCATACGTGTGCCAATACTTTTTTTACTATAGATTTTTCGTTTTTTTTTTACTTTACTTCCTTATAACAAATAACTTAGAACTCAATAAACATACTATTTATGTGTGTCAAAAGACACTTATACACATAGTTAATATTGAATATAATTGAATAATTGAATATAAAGATATTCAAAGAAAACTGGGTGTGCCAATACTTTTTTGACCCACTGTACAGCATTTTTACTTCTCATGTTGAGGGATTCTGTAGTGAATAAGTCATTATCAAATTTTTGTTCTTTTCATTATTGACAGTAATTATAATTATAAAAAAATTAAACGTTCACATATGTGGCCAAGGGCATCAAGAGGTTAAAGATTTCATCTAATCGTACGTCGTTGATTTTCTCTTATTTTCATGAGTAGGAACATAAAACAAAAGTTCTGAATACATCGTCATCGTTGAAAATACCGGTTAAGAGAGTAGAAATCAGTGGCCCCGTGGAAGGTACCAGTAGCCAGTGGTCGACTGTGGTTATCAGTAGGGGTCAATACAGGATCAGAGAGTGACCAAAATTATTCAGAAAACACACCAAAGTAGCGCATTTTCGTTTCACCCGATAGAATCGCGTGAATTGTTTGTTTCTGACACGCCTCAGTCGAGTCAAGGGGAGAGACACAAACACAAGGTCGCTAGATAATTCAACAGTCCTTTGTTCTTGCCTCGCAAGATGTTCGCAGAATTCGTGGAAATAGATTAAGTGGGTAGCTAACCGGAATTTTCCAGCGACTTTGTTTTTGTGTTTTCGTCACCTTGACTCGATTAAGACGTGGCATAACCGATCAGTTCACGTAAATCCATCGTGCGGGACGGATCGTGCTACATCGCGTGTATTTTCCGAATGTGTTTGGACACTCTTTGGTCTTCCTGGTGCTGCGCGGACCTCTGCCCACTACAACTGACCACAACTTACCTCATCCGACTACGCATGCCGACCACACCGCTTACTGGCTATCTCCACTGGTCTCCACTGATACCTTCTACGTGGTTACTGATTTCTACTCCCTTGGTTGGAATTCTTCCACGATGAATACTTCTACGAGGACATCATTACCTTCCTAGGTATTTATTAAAAAAGTCTTTAATAAGGTATTTATTAGGTCATCCCCTAACTAATGTCATTTTCCAACGCTAACTTTTGCTAAAAGGAATCTAAACTTACGTTTAATTTAATCATAAATGCATTAACGTCTTTGCTCAGGCTCATTTCAAAATTCAATTTATGAACGACAAAAATCGATTTATCGATTTGATTTTTTATCGCACGTTGTAGTCTGCCAAGAGGGCACTTTTTTTTTTAGAGAGATAAAGCAAAGTTTCGATATATACATCGTCAAGATGCGGAGAAAAATGTTTCTTTACACTAACGTAAGAGACATTGACTCTTTGCACTCAAGGCCATTTTTTCTGGGATCTGCCAGCAACTCGAGATGTTTCTTAGCATTCTATTGCCATGAATTCTAAGCTATCTAGATTTGAGAATAAGGTCGCCTTTACCTCGCCAACAATCATTTTATCGACACTTCGAGCTCCAAAAAAATTAAACCTAAAGAAACACTAGGTATTGTAGAGTTGCTGCGTGAAACCTACTGGTGACTGAGAGTCACCTCTCGAGTGCAAAGGGTTAATTACGGGATGATCTAATATGATTCTTTTCTATATTCTTACTCGGAAAAAGAAGAGTATCGTTACGACGCAATATAAAAGTTTTAAAACGCGAGGAACGAACGTCCACTCCCTCCATTTTTGTTCGAGGTTGATTTTTTTCTGTCGAAACGTGTGGCGCAGCAGTGTTCCCGAAGTCGAAGTAAAATAGAAACGATCGAGATCGCCAACGACCCGCGAACGGGTGCGGCGAGATAACGAGCTAAATTTTGTTGAAATTAAACGAAGCCTTCCTTCTTCTTCTTCTTCCGTGCCTCGGGTCCGGTGGGCGATCTTTTTTTTCCTTTCTATTTATACGGAACAGCGAACAGCTTAATGGCGCCCAGTTCGGCGACCAAGCGGAAGGCGACGTAATAGAAATAAAAAAAGGAATCTCCACCAGCCGCCGTGCAGCGGGAAAGCTTACCCTTTTCCGGCAAGAATCTCTTAAACTTTCGCGAAACGCCTTAATTGGCTCGGCCAGCTTTTTAATTCGATTCCAACTTCGGAACGGCGGATATTTTTGCTCGCAATTTCTCGTATTCTTCCTACGGAAAAAGAGAAAGAACCGTTCCGTGGCGAGAAACCGTTCCAAGGAGATTCTCGTTTTTACGCTTCGTTCCCTTCTTTTCAACCCCCAACGTCCTTGGCCACATCCGTGGCAGTCGCTCCCTTTCCCTCCGTTCGCATCATCGCGGTTCGACGCTCGAAACGAGATTTTTTGCTCTTTTCTTTCCACTTCTTTTCTGCAATTATTTCTTTCTTTTAAATCACACGACCTTTGAACGAAACGAGACGATAATTGTTGAAGGAAAGGGCGAAGAGAAAATTGAATTTCTGATAAGAAAGAGTTGGTAATTTTGAACAGGTAACATTTTTCGCGTAACTCGTCCATCTCCGTGTTCAACTTTTATGCGAAACATTCGATATTCGAAGAGAGCGATTTAAATGGAACACTTCGTATACAGCACTCCTCGAAAGAGTGCAATATAAGTTTCAGAGGATAACGGCTCGCGGAGTAGGTCAGCCTATGTATATCCTTGTCGACAATTACGAACCTTTCATTGAAAACGCTCAATTTAACCACGCTGCGAGATCGTAGAATTGTAGCGACCGTCTATATATACATATTTATGACATTCACGTTAGCTACTTTTTACGTCAACTTTGATATTTAAGGGGGAAAGGACAAGTAAAATATAAAATTTTGACCTGCTTTTTTTTTGTTTAGAAAATTAGTTTACCATCTGGTGAATGTGCTCCGACTATTTCAGCTAAAACTTCGAAGTCTAAGTGTACCTACAGAGTCATTAAAGTCATGCGCTCCGAACCGTACACGAAGGATTATTTTTAGATCCGGAAACCTTAAACGCATTTTTCTCAAAACAGAAAATTTCGCGTGCCGTGCAATGTAGCTTAGAGGTTTCTCAGCCGATTGCTATGAAACTTTGCACAAAATATTCCTTAAACTATTCTCCTTTGCATCAACCTAAAGGTTTTTAATTATTTTTTTATAACAACATTTTTTTACCGTGGCGTGAAATTTTAAATTAAAAACTTTTTTCTTTTAATCTAGGTTGATGCAAAGTGGATTACTATATTTTAACGAAGAATTGGTGGATTTTTGATTTCAAATAATTAGAGTGATCTGTGCGTTGCACGGCGCATTTTCGAGAAGCCAACTTCAAACAGCTGCTGTTCATTTATTTATGAATATTCTTACATAAAAAAAATTATATAAATTATCTAGATGCAAGTAATTAGTTGTAAATAAATATATATTACGCAGTCTTCGAAAATAATTCGCAAAAAAGCGGTTGTTTACTTGACCCTCCCCCCTTAAGGTCACTGGTCATTTACACCTCGTGCTAGATTCTCTTATTCGCGGAAGAAAATAGAAACGTAGACTTTTCGATAACGCTCCAGTAAATTCCGATAAAAATAGGTGAAAAAGTAGGCAGGTATTCTTTTACAATTAACACGTAACGCAGTTTTATTGGCAAGGAAAGCTTTTTAGGTGTCTGCCTCCGATTGTTTTAACTTTTGGATATGTTTTAAAGGACCGAAAAATAAGATATACGTATTTTTTTATATTGGCCCGTTTTCATATTTAGAGGGTGAAACGGCCCCTTAAAGTTTAACCTGTAATAGGCTATTATTATAAACAAATTATCTTTTACAAAATTTAGGGCCAGATTTTATATGCAGATAGAAAACCATGAAACTTTTCCTTAAAAAGTTTTCTTCTATGGATGATAGTTTCGGAGATAGCCTATTGCAGTTGAAACTTTAGGGGGTCGTTTCACCCCCTAAATATGAAAACGGGCCAAGTAAAAAAATACGTATTATTTTTCGGTCCTTTAAAACATATCCAAAAATCAAAACAATCGGAGGCGGACACCTAAAAAGCTTTCCTTCTGAGTAATACAGAAAACCAAATAGCATACACAGGGGTATGTATAGGATTAACAGTGCTAACAGTACGATGGAAAAACCGTTCGTTCTGAATATAATTTTAAAAATTTACAATTTTATCATTAGAAAATATGGATCATTTTGTGCTTCTATTACATATTTCTGGTGTAATTTACTCATTAAGTTATCATATTGAGTTGTCCAGAAAGTTCGTGTCAATTTTTAAGAAAAATTCAAAGGCACATTTGAAGTTTGATATATAATTATTGAATTACATAGGTACCATTTTGTTCCACAAGCTTTCCACCTTTTAAGGGATGTACACAGTCAGTGTAATAAATATTCGTACAGGAACCATTTGTTTTAAATTGCTTGCTGTACGAATACTTCTTACACTGACTGTACGTGTTATTCAGTTTCAACCATTTCGATATATTCAGACCTGCCTACCAAAAATCAACACGGACTTTCCAGACAACCCAATGTAATTTAAAACAAAATTCCAAAAAATGCAAAATAAAATCGTATAGGCTGCAATAGCGTTGCTTCAAGTTGAATATAAGATTCCTCCAAAAATCGGAGCACAACAATGAATCCAACTTTCGAGGAAACCACCCCGCTGTCGCAAAATTTTAGTTCTGCTGGAGGTTTCACGCCTCTCTGTCGTAGGTCGAGTGAAATTTCCATTTCGATGTATCGTTCGTTAACGAAAAAATGCCATAGTTGCACGTACCTTCGTAGACTTTGAGCTGCGCCTCGGCTGACACGGCGTCCCCGACTCCATTCTCGGCAAGACACTCGAACTGGGTGTTGTCGCGGCCCGCTCTGACAGGTTCGATCCGTAGTAAAGCTCCGTTTTCATAGTTCTGCACCACGTACCGTGCCTGAGCCTCTGCGGCATAACACGAAAGATTCAGGTGAACCGAGAGAAATAAAAAGACGAGGGGGACGTTAAGGGTAGACAGACGCGAGGACAGGGAAACGATTGTCACGTAGTCTCCTGTTTCGTATTCGAAATCGAATAATCGAACGTCATCGTCGACCGATGTTGTCTACGAACTCGAAACTCGCTCCTCTGAAATTGGAATCGCGGCATGCGAGTACGTTTAGAGGTCCGTGTAAGCGTCGATTTCTCCGTTTCCTGGGTTTCGATTAGTTCAAGGAATTAGGGCAGGATGTGGATTTATCGAGAGGTTAAGAAAGTGATTTCTGATCTTGAAAAATAGGGTGTATAGATAACTTTGGGTTTTCTTTTTTCTTCATTTTGTTCTTTATGGATTTCAAATAATAAGATAGAGTATCCCAAATGGTGTGAGCTTGGCAACTTTTCCATCTCGTGGAAATTAATAGCATGCGAGTATGTTTCGAGGAGCGTGTAAGCGTCGATTTCTGCGTTTCCTGGGTTTCGATTAGTTCGAGGAATTAGGGCAGGAGGTGGATCTATCGAGAGGCTAAGAAAGTGACTTCTGGTTTTGCGAAATAGGGTGTATAAATAGGGTGCAAAGATAGCTTTGTATTTTTTTTTTTTTTAAATTTTTTTCTTGATGTATTTCAACTAGGAAGACAGAGTATTCTATGTAGGAGTCTAAACGGAAAATAAGACACGGGGATTCGAACCCACGATCCTCGGATCCACAGTCGATCGCGAGCATCCGAGAAATACCATAATTCTTTAATTAAATATTATTTCGTTTTCGTTCAATAGTGTCTTTATTCACCTCCCCCTCATCCTCACTAAAAATAGAATCCCACATTCTATGCGTTGGGTAAAGTAAAATATTCTAGGTGTAGGATAAAACATGTCGCTCTGTATAGAAAGCTTCGTATTTTTTTCTTAATTCAGATCTTTATGGATTTCAACTAAAAAGATAGTGTATCCCAAGTGGTGTGAGCTTGGCAACTCATTCAACTCGTGCAAATTAATAGCAAATAGGCAACAAGATATTTAAATGCCACCATTTTGATGATTCGCTTGCATGCTTCCATTAGAAAGGTGGTCTAGTCGTGCAGATTAGTAGCGAATAGTTTCCAAGCTATTTAAGTGGCGCAATCGTGATAATTCGCCCCGATCCCTTTATTAGAAACGAAGGTCTAACTCGTGCTCCTGAAACGCGGACCGCCAAGTTCGTTATCATCGTTTCGCTGGATCAGCGAGTTTCGGCGGGGGTCGCGAATCGATTCAAAAATCGGTGACAATCGTCGGAGGCCGAGGTAAAAGCGACCACTCGGCGTTAACCGGCGCGATTTTTCGCGGCGTTGAGGATTTCCAACGGTTAATCGGGCCGCGCGCTCTCCCCGAATAAATTCCGGTTCCGGTACCACGGGTTCGCGACCGCGTAAATGGAACTCGCCTCGACGAACAGTCGTCCGTCGATCGTTGGCAAACTCGATTAATATCGCGGCTCAAAGCTGCCGTCGCTTTCCGAATCGAAACCTATCCAGTAGTCGAAATTCACGCGACAAGATACCCGTTGTAGATTCAGACTCGGCTCGATCTGACACTGTTTACATTTAGACGGTCTTTTTTAATGTTTTGCAGAGGGTAAACGTTGTTATTATTAGACGGATCGTTTGTGCAAATACATATCCTCACAGATACAGAAAATGAATTGAAACATACATGCAAATATGTTTTGATTTCGAAATGGTATAACGTGTATATCATTCTCGATATTTTACATATTTCTGAATTTGTGCACACTATAGATTCCACCATTTATTCATTTGCTATAAATGTATAAACAGCCGTAGTCTAGTTATTATCATAGCGGAATGGAGGAATCCTTGGGGAATATTTGAAAATAGACTGACATAGCTAGGGGGACAATTTATTGGTTTTTATTCAGGAAATAGCTTCGAATTGCTGCAATTCATGCATCTGTTTTAAGGTTACGATTAACCTTTAAAGACGAGGGCTGAGAATATCCCTGTGCGCGAGCATTGGCATTTCGTCTCGAGACGAAATTTTAACTTGGATGGAAATTTCACGAATTTTACTTTGACAGCCAACGCGTCAACCTCTTGCAAAATCTATTTACTACACACGAACTTCCCCCAAATGGCCACGTGGTCTTCGATATACACCCCCGTGACACGTATTCTTCCCAACAAGTAAACACGTCCTCCACTACGTTTCCGCTAGATTCTCGCCCGAAGTATCCCGTTTCTCTCCACGTCCACGTCCTAACGGATCGATCGCTACTTTGTCTCTTTATTATTTCTGATAATGGGCGTTTCGTCGCAGTGTGACGGCATCGATAGCCATCCTCGAGCGAATAGACGAATCGAGCGCGAACCGGATATCGATTTACCGAATCGAGCGAGACTAACAGCGGCGAACAAACACGCGACGCTCGGTTTACGCTCGAGCGAAGCCGACGGCCAAGATAATCGAATCACCCTCGAGAGAGGGAGAATTGCGACGTGTCTACTTGGACGAGTCGCGAGAACACGCCCAAGTGAGACTAGACGCCGGACCGATCTGGCCAGTTTCCGAAACTCTTGAAACAAGACTCGCTCTCTACTCACGGGCGACAGCCGGCGCTTCCGAGTCGGGCGAGCGCGAAATTTACTCGGAATGAAAAGACGAGAACCGAGCGTGACGCGCGAGGCGACGGTACAGGGGGATAAGGAACGGTAAAAGCTCGACGAAAATGCGACGTCGTTGTGAAACAGAAACCGGAACCGGAAGCTGAAACGAGCGAGGAGTCGGATTACCGTGCGATTGCCGCCCGATGCAGCGTGGCACAGTCGCGAATGGATCCTGGCGTGCCCTTTGTCACGGTATTCTGATACTTCCAAGGTGCTAGAAGCCAGGGGTTAATTACGCTACTCTGACTATTTTTGTTATACCTTGGGTTGTACATTTCTCCAGTAAAATTTGGTAGGATTAAATAGGGTGTATGTATCTCAGAAGTTAACCTTTTACCGCACCTTTTCTTATTATTAAATGCTTTTCACACTGGCGTAACTTGAATTGAAGGGAACTGTAGAATTATGCTCGGGAACGATAGGAGTGATAACGAACAGAAAATTAAAAGCAAAACGAAGATACTTTTTCTTCATTCTTCTGAATAATGAACTACCTCTGCGTACTTTTAACACTAGGTTTACAAAGATTTCTTGGCAGATTTTTGTTACTGAAGCAAAGCTTCAACATCAAAAATATCAACGTTTATTTGTAACTAGTAGGTGGTTCGGAAAGTAATGTCCTTTCTGCGAATCTCAATTCTTGTTTATTATCCATCAGCTCATTGATTTCTATCGATCTTACATTAAAAATCTGTATACTAGATGGCAAAAGGCTGTTGACAACGAGGGTGATTACATAATTGATTTATAGAAACTTGTTAAGAATATATTCGTTCGAATTTGATGTTAAAAAAATGACATTACTTTTCGGTTCCTCTAATATTTCTACCGTGATGGGACAAGTGACTTGTCTTAACGACGCGTTTTTCAATTAAATGCAAAAATATTTTACGTGGAACTAAATTGAATGATGACGCATAGAAGAAATATGTACATACAGTGGGTGTAGAATGTATTCGTACACCGATCAATTTCCCAAAAAACTTTTGTGTGAAATTGTAGTTTCTTAACTTCTTTTTTTGTAATCAATGATATTTTACAAATTCTCGGAAGTCTCTAAGATTGATATAGTCCAAACACCATTTACTAGTTACTATAATTTGTGAAATTAACAAAAATTTGCGAAAAGTGGGTAAAAGTATAGAAGCAATAAGTATTTGTACGATTCTTATGACGAACCATTTATAGTAGAGTTTGTAACGTAAACACATTAGTTTATTGCTCCGTACGAATTAGAAAACATCAAATTTTCAGTAAAGTACTTTTAAAAAAGGCTCTAATAGAGGAATGGAAAAAGATCCCACATCGAATAACTAATAATTTAGTTAATTTAACGCTTAGAAGAGTTACGATAATTATCAAATCAAAAGGAAATCCCACGAAGGAAGTATTATATACTTATAAATTAATGTAAATTTCTTTTTTTTTTTAAATCAAGTTTTAAAAATTAAACAGTTGTGCGAATATTTATTGCTTCAATATTTCTATCGGTTAATTGTTTTTTTTTTTTTTTGTTAATTTCGTAACTTACATAAATAGCTATTTTTTTGTAATCTATCTATTCTAGAGATTTCCGAGAATATGTAGAATGTCATTGTTTATAAAAAATAGATTAATAAATTACAATTTTACATAGTTTCTTTTGGAAATTGATCGGTGTACGAATACTTTCTACACCTATTGTATATACAAAAGTTTGCAAACAGTCACTTCACCGATCGTCGTAGGTTTAACGTCAATAAATTAAGTAAATTTAGTAAAGTTACTTAGCAGGCTTGAACAGAAATGAATCTGAGTACATGCTTGTCTTTTTATATAGATCAAAGTCATAATAAATGGTTGCTGATAAATATAAACGGTTTTTGTAATAGTTAGTGAAAATAGGAATGGGTAAAAACGGACCGTGATTCGTAAATCTAGCGTCAAATATAATTTTATTTCGTACAACTATTCAGTGCTGACTTATCCGAGCAATCGTTTCCTATTATATGAATCTCAATCAAGCTCTCAACAGTGAAAAAATAAGACAGGTGTCGCTCCCCAACTTTGTAGTCATCATTCATACCAAGTAACGCGTTTATCGTCACGTCAAGAAATTTACAAATTACTTCTGAAGATCATGCGTTAAACAAAAACAAGTCTGGATAGGATTCGTGAATTTTGATCGGGTTGGAAAACTAAGTACCAACTCAAATGTTAGATTACACAGTTTCCAATTGTATAAGAATAAAATTTTAGCTGCATAAGTATTTCCGTGAGTATGCCTGGCACTGAAAGTATTAAAATTACTCGCGGAGTATTTTTCGGCATAACTATAACTTTGGAAGACACGTAGACGTCTTCTTCCCCGTATGTCACACTGAATATACGTATCGACGACATCTGCGCGGGGTTGGAGAGGGTACGGTCGCGTTCAGGGGGAGCCGAGAGAGAGAGAGTCGGCGAGGAAAGGCTCGTGGAAAGTTTCGAAAGCGGACAGAAGGCAAGGAGGAAAGGGCGAAAAGCGAAAACTTACGGGAAACTTTCTTTCCGTTCTTCCTCCAATGGATCTGGGGCGGCGGGGCTCCCTCCGCCGTGCAGTAGAAGCTCGCTATTCCGCCTGCCTTCACCTGCTGCGATTGCGGCCTCACCAGGATCGTCGGTGGACCTGCGAGCACAAGATCAAGGGAAGCCTTTGATTAGAGTCGAGTCGTCCCTTCGGGCCGCTTCGACGGCCACCGTTGCTCTCCCGAGTTAATAAACGCAAGAGAACCCTCGGTATATCGAGAAACGTCTCTGAAAGAACTCGCTGCTGCCGGGCAGGAGTAAGCAAATTACCCGGGGCACAGATACGGTATTTCCTGGTCGAAGAAAAAGAGCGAGGATCGTCTCGAGTTGTCGTTCGTCAATCGTCGATGACCGTTCGCGACCGGATCGATCGCGTCGGTTCGGTTGGCGTTCGTGATCGAAAAGACAGATGGGAAACTGAATAATTGAAAGCGAAAAACCATGGTCCGCGTATGCCTGAATTCGATATCGCGGCGGGACCGTGTAAACTCGATAAACGAAATTTGCCACCGCGGGAAATCGAGCAATCCTCGGATCGGTTGGGAAAAATTGTTACATCGCTGAAATCTGAGAATCTCCGGATCGAGGGTTTTTTGACGAGCTTGAAAAATAGAATACTTCGTTTTTGAATGAATTTATTATAGCATTTATTAATAATCGTCTTAATATTTCATTGAACACAGAATGGAAAGTACAGGGAGAGGAAGTTATCCTTAGTTAAATGTTTCGTTAATTCGAAGAGGAAAATGTATGGACAGTTGAAATGCATTATTCAGAAACGTGCTCGGGATGACGTAATTTTGTAATTGTTTTACATGGACCAACCACTGGGTTTATAATGTGAAAAAGGTCTCATTGCTACGCTCGTTGTAATAACAAAAATATGTTCCATGGAACGAGAGCACGAGTATGTACGCGCATCGTGTAAAACTTTAAACGTGTATTTTGCTGAAACTACACTTTTCCACTCGGTAATAAATCCAAAAACCGTTCAATCGAATTTAACGAAATTTCGTACATGTATTTTGGACGATATTATCTGTCGAATGACGCACGATTATTTCCTTTTTATTTAGCCCTCGAGATATCGAAGAGAAAAGATTGTAGAGGTGTTATCATTTCTACAGTATTATTGAATTTTAAACAATCCACACGCTGTAGAATGAAGAGAATGAAAATACAAATTATCGATTCAACTTTCCAGTAACTAAGCCAGTGTATATCGCCTCTACGATTTCTAAAATAAAGAAAATTTCTCGTAAACCAAAAACCTACAACACAAATTTCTGTTATTCATCGAGCAGTATAAATTCATGTATTCAAATTTAAACTTTTCGGATTATATAGTTTTCCTACTAAAAATTCGCAAAGTTTCCCCCGTTGTTGGCTGGATTGCGATAGTTATACGCTTCGGCTTCGAACCGACTCGACACGCTTTCAGCCAAGAATAAAGGGACGCTCGTTTCAAGATGGACGTGCTTGCCCACCTTTGTCGGATCGTCCTGGTGTCTCGTGATCCAGCCCTGGTGAACCAACACCGCCCTCTCGGAAACAGAAGGATCGAATCAAAGGGCGTGTGCTATTCGGAGCGAGACTACTGGCCAAGCACTAAATTGGTCTCGAAACTTTGCGATCGCACGGATCGTTTATGGCTACTCTTCCATGGACCATCGATTCAAACGAAAGCGGTCTCACTCTTTTACAAGGTAAATCGCCATTGAGTCGCGAATCGAAAACAAATTCTATCGCTACGGAAACTAGACACTCGAACTTCAATCTTCGATTCGTTTGTTTGTTACTCCGTATCGAAGGGGTGTCCCGTGTAATTCGAGCTAAAGCACCGTGGATGTCATCGCGTTATTTTTATGAAGCTGATTTCTTTCGTGTAGAGCAGAGGTTCCCAAACTTTTTAGACCCGCGGCTCTCTTAGTATACAGATTATTTTCGGCGACTCCTTTAATGCCAATCAATACGAGACTAATCTGAAATATGTTAGAGAGACTACATTTTATAGCACAAACTAAATAAATATAAGTGTTACTACTACATAAGACTTCATTTCTTTATTATTAAATTTTACCAATATTTTCTTTCTCTTACATTTTTACATATTACATTTACATTTTATATATTTACAGTATATCGACCTCACAGTTTGGGAATCACTAGTGTAGGAAGTTTTATTCGAACGTTTCTGTTTTATATTAGTTCATACCATAAGTAACGAAGGAAATTATACATTTATTTTAATCATAAACGTATGAACGATCCCGTTTCTAAAACCTTCCGTCTTTTTGGGTAATGTTCGAGGCTTTGATTTGAAAGACTAATTTAGTACTGATTTTTCGTGTTCCATATTGTTGAATTTTTTCTGGTTAAACGATGTTCCAGTGATCAGAATCCCAAGTTCTAAGGTCTTAATGCAATTTTTATCCGTGTTATGTATGATCTAAAAAAAGATGTCTTTCGACAGGAACGTAAGAGAAGACATTACTTATGGGATGACTTAATATTTTATTCTAAATTCGTGCATCTTAGCTCCCTACTTCCTCGCAGCTTCGAAAGATGACGAATAAATTTTGGTACGAATAAATCTTGTTGGAGGAATTCATTCGTTAAAATATTTCCAGCTAAGGAATCCGAACGGTTCGACACGGGCATTAAATCCGTTTCCCCCTCGATGACCAACTGTTATACCGGGAAATCGGCGCCGGGAGCATTTGGAATATTTAAAAATCCATCGTTCGCATGCCGCAAACGTGCTCGATTAATGCACCTGTTACGAACTATTTCGGTATGATAATCATCGCGCGGCCGGCCACAATGCGACCCGGCCGGATAGCAATAATCTCGAACGAGCGATTCGATCAAAAATTATCGACGGTTCGCCGATGGAATAATATTTACCTTAAATTGCGTTCGCTCCCCCCTGCGTCGCAGTTTTCGTGCACAGTCGATAGATTAGCGCGTTCGGGTTTCGCGTTCGCTGCCGCACGAATTTTCGAGCCCATCCAGTCGCTCCCACCATCGTCGGCCCTCGTGCCCTTTCGATATCGTTTCCCCCCCGCCTCCATAATCTTCTGTTTCGCGATTGGCACGATTATTCCGATATTCGATTGGATTCGATTCAACCGCGGAAACGTTACGAGGCACTCGACGATCGATCGCGAGTCGTTCGTGTAGGCCAGACACTTTACATTTGATTACCAACGTGTTTTCAACGGGCCGATATCACGGTAATTTTTATTTTACCCCGCAACATCCCCAATCCTCATTGGAATGATTATTCGAGTATGTATTAACGAAAGTAACGCCCAACTCCAACGCACCAGTGAAATTCCGCGCTCAGTGGTAACGAAGTCCATCGAAAACTTCTGAAAAAATTATTTTATCGGGCCAAAGAACCCGTCGAGGCTTCCAGCGGTTTCGCTGAAATTTCTAGCCCGATCTACCCCTACGTAGCTAGACGTACACTTATTTTGAAACTACGTAGCGCATCGGAAGCACCTGCCGCGCCACGGGCTGGTCAATGATAATTTACGATCAAATATTAAAGACCTGCCGGATAAACAGTCCCAAACACGAATTCTACCTCTAAACCACATTTTGTTTTTCTCCAGACAATTTGCAAGGCACTTACTTTGATATTTGAGGTTATTGATTATCACAGACATTACATAATAAAAACGTATGCGTCATCTTGCGAAACAACTGCAATTATTTTGTAAAATGTCGATTAGCACGTGACACGAAAGTTACATGGGCTTATAGAGGATTAAACTGTCTATATTGTAGAAGAATCGATATAATATCCTCAACCCAATATGTATCCATCGACATTCGAAAACTATAGGTACACGGTATAGTAAAATTAAAAGCGACAAACACGACTACTTCGTGAAAGTGTTGATTGCGTTAATGTCTCGAGGTCGCGCGTGGAACGAGTGCCTCGAACGTCGAATGACTTGGAGTGTTTGGAAAACATTTCGAGCACGTGCCAACGCGTCTCGGTTCCCCTCGGTTGTTCGTTTTTCCCCAGCTAGGAGAGTAAAACGGATGAAACCGGTCCGGTTCAGGGAGAGCGCACGCAAAGATTAAACGCCAAGGAAAATTAGATCGCGAAACGCGAGGTACTACACCGCCGCGCCCCGCGGATAACGAATGGCGATCCACTTTCCGAGAAGTCGCCTCTGCCGTGAGAAAATACCAGAGAGCACCGAGGAACGTCGCGAGGCGTTTTAAAGCTGACTACCTGACCGCGTAAAACCGATAGTAACGCTATGTTTCTTTAAGGGTGAGCGTCATTTTTCAGGTTAGAAAAAAATAGGCGTATATAGGAATTTTTTCTGATGATACTAAACGTCCGATGGAAATGATCGATACGTGCCTTGAAAGTGCATACTTTGAATGGTACTTCTGTCAATTTTGATTAAAATATAACGATCCGTGCAGGAAATATAGGCGCTTTTGTGAGACCTTATCGGAAACTCCGCAGGTTAAGTAGAAAGGGCCGGTATTGATCAGGCGAGCGATCCAGCCATACTAAAAATCAATTGACTCGGAAACAAAGCCTCGTACAGGAAAATTGTATTGTACATTTTCGCGTAGAATAGTCACGTGTTTCCGTTTGTTAATTAACAGTTACTCCACGTAAACAAACGAGCAACAAAGTCCACCAAGATTGCAAATCTGCATTTAGAGTACCATCGATCGTAAAAGATTTCAGTACTGGACGAAAATAAAAATAAGTCCGCACCTTGGGACCGCGTCTGTCCATCCTTTGGGAATTCATTATTCACGTTCGAACGCGTCGCGCAAGGGAAAATCAGGATGAAGATCGTACGGTTATTTCCCTCGAAAGTTGGTAATAACGAAAGATAGCACCGGTCGCGTAAAAATGGTACGGGCCATATCTCACGCTTAGAGTTTATACCGGTTTGGCAGCAACTGGGCGCGCCAGGCGAGCCCCGGGAGTAGAAGTTCGCGGGACAGACGCCAGAGCTAAGCCGCGGCGCTCGACTCTCCGTTACAAGCTTTATCTCCCGACGCAACGTAATTGAAAAGAGTGGCCGATAACGGGCCAATTCGAATGAGA